CCCATCTTTTTGAGAAGATGCTTACGCTTTTATATATCGGTCGCCGAATTTTTGTTGAGTCTTCTAACGCAGACTGCTCCGAATAATTTTCTTCCCGAGCTTCTGTTGCCTCAAGAAGTTATGTGCAAATTCACCGCATTACCAGAATGGTACATGGAAGACATAGTGGAATTCTTGTTATTCACATTCGAGTAAGTTTTTACTAAATTATCAAATGTCACAAATTATACATAATGCTTATGCTTATTAACAATTATAACTGCATTGTTTTATTTGCAGATTCTGTCCAACGTTTGATATAGATATAGATATATCGCCGCTTATCACTTTGTTACTCGTCGTCGTGTGTACGCCACATTGTATACGAAATCCGCATCTTATTGCAAAAATCATCAAGGTTCTTTATAAGGTTCAGGTAGGAGTTTGTACACGAGGAACAGAAACTTTTGGCCACAAATTCATGGCACATCCTATATCCAAGACATTTCTGGCGTCGTATCTCATGAAGTTTTATACCGACGTTGAAATCATTAACATTAATTCCGAATTTGAGATGAAGTTTACAGTATGTTATCACATAAGTGTGATCTTAAATTCGTTGTGGCATAGCCCGATGCATCGAGCGTCTATTATCAATGAGAGTAATAACGGCAAGCATTTTGTCAAGTTTATCAATATATTGATGAATGACATCACCTTCGTGGTCGAGAAGGTTCTGGAAGATCTGAAGTATATACTCGAGTTGGAGGAATTTACTATCGCATGGAATGCTATTTCGCAGGAACAACAACAATCGATAACGACACAGCTGGTGAAGAGCGAGGAAAAAGTCAGATCCTTTCTTAAATTACGCACAGCGAGAGCTACGAAACTCTCAATTTCCGTCGTAGTTTTAATGCCGGATCTCTCTAATTCATTCGCAGCGTCGGTGAATAACTTGTTACAAAACAAAAGCTGCAAATATGAAGATATATATTATATATTCATTTTTGCAGCTTTTGTTTTGTAACAAGTTATTCACCGACGCTGCGAA